GAAAGTATCATGAGAATCTTGTAACAACAGGTGCTTCCAGGGAGGAGAAAAAGGCTTACTTTGGACTCTGTGCCTTCTTGCACACTTTGAACTTTGTATTGTATACCAGAAGGTTAAATGAAAAGTTATATGAGCATCTGTGCAAAAATTCTGAGGTTTGCACCTTTAGAGTAAAGACCCCCATCCCAGTGAAAGCGAAAAGGTAGCCGGGGGCGGCCAAATAGGAGGGGGAGCTTCTCTTTAGAGACGTCTCCGGCTGCTAAGCAGGGAAGAAGCCATGACCGTCATCTGCGTGTACAGTCCCTTTTGTGTTAGTGGATCGATAGCTGTCAACACCCAAAAGAACACTGGTATTTACATGCTCCCCGGGGGAGGTCCAGGATTCGTGCCACAATAACTGATCCCTAATTGGATCAGCTTCCGGACCTAGTCATCAATTAAAGGGCATACAGGGGTCAGAGGGACACATTAAATGACATTGCCTGCCCCTAGGCAATGGCCACAAATGCAAAAAAATATTTAACCTTGGGAATAAACAAAATTAGGAATCAGAAAGAAGAATTAACTGTAAATATAGAAAAGATCTAAATGGCAAAATATAACACGACTTTATGCTAATAATTTGAAAATCTCAATGAAATAGATAATTTTCTTGGAAAATACAGATAACCAAACTGACCCAAGAATTAGGAGAAAAACTGATTATTAACCCAGAAAAGGGGCTCGGGCAGGGTATGAGCCCCGGGCCTTCTCCCCTCGGGTCCCCTCCAGGCCCTTCTGCAGTTTCTGGTTCGTTCCTTTACCCTTTTATCTCTGGTTGGTTCACTGATGCCCGTTTTTCTTTCCCACACAGACCACGTTTCAAGTGTGTAAGGATGACAGAGCAAATGGGCCAAAGGTCAAAGCTGGATAACTTGGGTCGGAATATGTTTCCCTCGAAGAGGCTGAGAAGAGAGTGCAGAGACTCTTCTGTGGTTTACCCGGTGGGAGAAAGTGTTTTGGGGACCATGTAGTCGGCTGGACCCGGGAGATTGTCAACAAAATTTCCTGCAGAACATATGGAGAACATGCATTTTCTATTCCTGCGAGCCTTCCTTGTGCTGGACTAAGAGAGTTAAAAATCGGACTCAGGACTGCCCGTAGGGATGCTTTTAGACGTGTCCAAGAATCCAGTCGAGTTCAACATACCTCAGATCTGACTCTCTCTGGAAAATCTCTGCAAGGTCACATGTCACTAGATCCGTGACCAGATAACAGTGCCCTGGGTAGAGTGGTCACCGTGTGGTTTCTCTAGAACAGCCTCCAATTCGATCAAGTTCTAGTCTCCTTAAATGCTGACTCGCAACTGTCATACATGCTCCCAATGTTTATTTATTTTAAAAAAAAGTGTTAAAACTTTAGGACAAGAAAGCGCGGTATACTATTCCTGTCCACAGGTCACTCGGAACAAAGGTCAGGACTGACAATTCTCTGCTGGAATGTGTCTGTTTTCGACACTTCGCAGCAAAGCGAGATTCTCCGAGTAAGAGACTGACACTTGGGTGCGGAGGTGGCCGACTCCCCGGCCTTTACAGCTGAGACGCCGTGTCCTGGCCTCCTCCGACTCATTCCCTGGCATGTCCGTTTGAGCGGTCTTGGCATTGTCATCGCTTCTTCCCCTTATCTTCAGGTTGCTGGCCGACCTCTGCTAACTCTGCAGCAGGAGGCAAGCATGTACCAAAACCCGGGACTTGGGGAACTGCTTCTGCTACATCGCGTTCTTTTCGGGAATTTGCCTTGGCAAAGTCCTTGCGTTTATTATATTAGACTTTCGGGGCGGCCAGAGGCCAATCCTTAAAGATGTAATTCTGGTAACTCCTTACGATATCCAGAATCAAGGGGTTGGGTATCCTGATTTATAAAGGATGTGAAGACAGTGGCACTTTACGAGTTAGATGCGGAGCTCCGTAGTTTTGAATTTACCTTTAGCCACATTGTAAAGTGATAAAGCAGAATCATAAGAAGAAGATGAGGCTGAGAAATAACGGCAGATGGGTCAGAAAACTGAGAAGCTGGGGTTCGAACCCAGGTCTTCTAACTTCAGAGCTGCTGTTCTTTCTACAACGCGCCAGTAAGTTAAGTGCTTTAGACACGAAAGACAAGAAGAAAAGGAATCTTCGACTCTTAACACATAGCACACTACCAAGCCTTTCTCTCTAAACTGGGGCAGGCCCTCTCTCACTTGCCGAAGAGTGCATTTTTGGTTAAAAAGAAAAGGTACACACACACACACACAGAGACACCCATTCTTTATATCTTCTTTACAAATAATTCACTCAAAATCCAAAGTCATCTAGATACTTAGAGAGTTAAAAGGGAAAGACACTGACTTTCCTGCCTCCTCTTCCTCCCACCTTCTCTGCCCCCTGATCGGAATGTGTGGCTTTGTAGATAACGTGCCTAATTGTTTTTCATGATAACATTACAATATAAAGTCAAGAAAAACATAAAAACAGATGGGAAACCGTTCGATACTATCCACGCCCCCCAGTAAGCAGGCTATTGATAAAACAGTACAGTCAAGGAGTACATATTTATCATGTCATGTCCAGAAGTAACTATAAGGAGCAGGGCTTCCAATTAATGTAGGCATCCCAGGTGGCACACGTATGCAGGGCAGGCGTGCTCGGCGCTGTGGACACCGTGGTCCTCGGAACAGATACCGCGTGGTTTGCCCTGCTGGAGTGGGCAGTCTAGGCGGGAAGTGGCTTTTCACCAAATCTCACCTGGAACTTTAATAAACCTCTTCTTGTTACTGCGGCAATGCCAAGAAAACACCTTGTAGCAGACAGCACCCAAAGGCCTATGTGCAGACCTGGCAAAGACTGGCAAATCTGATTACTGCAAGGAGTTCTCAAGTAGCCACAGGTAGAGAAATGGCTGCAGCCAAGGAAATACAGCTGCTAAAGATCCTGCACTTTGAAGCTTGAACTTAGAGCAACCGCTCACAGTGACGAATAACTCTGAATTTAGTTGCAGGAAGGTCACCGGTCTCTAGCAGCCCACGGGGTTCCCACACTAACCTGGATCACAGAGATGATGGGTGAGAGGGACTAGCATAGTGAGAAAGGATGAAGATGAAAACGAGGCTCTCATCCATGATGGCTTAGCCTCCTGATGAGGACCTTCTGCTGGAAGGGATCAGCAGGGGCTGAACCATCAGAGTTACAAGTGGAGAGCTGGTGGCTCCCCTTCTGAGGACGGGTATGTGGTCCCAAAACGAAGTCAAAGGACAGATGTTAGTATTTAAAGAAAGACTACAGAGTGCAGCACAGGAAGTTCTGGACAAGGAAGGGTCACAGAGTCACACGGAAAAGTAGTGACATGTTTGGCAAAGGAGCCCAGAATCATGGTCTAGCTCCGAAGAAGTAGGAAGTCGATACACATCTGTGTGTCACCATGCGGGAAGCAGGCTGGTGATTCTACGTGCTCCTAGACTTTCGACTATCAGATACAGGTCGGCCATGGAGAATCAGGCACATGCACGGCACACAGCTGTTACTGGTAGATGTCAGCACTTCCTGCTCAGCCCAGGAGGAGGACACCATGGTCATGTCATCACAGTTGCTGGCAACTGTGGTCAGAGTCAGCATCCGAAACAGAATCTTTCTGCAACACTTGGGCCAGGCTTTGTTTCCCACACCTCTCTGCTGACTTGTTGCCTGTCGAGACTCTCACTGGATGCAGGGCTGAGTGTAGGGCAGCTTTTAGGTAGCTGGTTTCACTTCATGCAGACGGGAGAAGGACATGTGGCCAAGAGACGACGGAATAGACATTTCCTAGTCCCTCCTGGCTACGGGTTTTGTCCCTACCTTGTCGTGGGAGAATCGGTCATTAATATCAGATTCACATTTGTCCTGCGTTTCTGCAAGAAATTTTTAAAATTTAATATCTCCGCTAGGTTCTTCCCGACGCAGGAAGCCAAGGACTGTGACCCACCTGTGACCCACTGTATCTCTAGAGCCCACTGCATGGTAGCCACTTAACAAGTGTTTTCTGAGAAGGTCACAGCCTTGTGTCTGTGCACTCTTTAGTGTGGCTTCGGATGCTCACAACTACAACCAGTCCTTACTATTCACAGTAATTTTGTTCTATAATGTTGCGGCGAACATGAAATGAGTGAAAACTGGAACATTTCTCACGTTGTGAGCAGAGGCTTGAGGAACAAGATGAAGTGCCTCAAGCCTCTGCTCACAACACGCTCATCTGATGAATCCACGACTTTACTGTGTGTGTGTCGCTGCTTAAAGAGCCCTTACTAGATATGTACATACTGCCGATTCATTAACACCGAACTCGTGGTCAGCAGCGCCGTACCCCACGCCTGAATGAAGCTTCTCTGACACACGGATCTTCCCCACCGGTCACACTGCAGGCTCCTCGCACTCAGGGACCCTGGGCTCTACACCGGGAGCCATTTTAACCAGTGACATCAACGCAAGGAAGCCAAGAACAAAAACGCAAAGCACATGGCGCGAAACAGACCATGACGAAGAAACTCGCTCACAGTAAGAGAGCCGAGATGGGAAGGCACAGCCTCGCCTCGTTCCACTCGGTTAGTTTGCTGTCTGGTGTCAGTAAGAAGAGTAACAGACCCAAAAAGGTTGCTTCTGCCCACCACCCGGGTGCCCAGCAGCACCTCCAAAACACGGGGCCCGACCAAGAGCAATTTTCTTCTGCAAATGGCTACACAAGGACGGGAGGCATTGTGAAGGCACGCGCGGGTCTAAATAATCACCGAGTTGGAAAATGCGGTGGTTGCAGGTGTTCCCTGAGCCGTGGAATAGGCAGATTTAGAACAAATAGAAGATTATACGTCACATGGCAAAATTAAAGAAGTAAGAGGTGTCGCAGTCAGAAACAGCTTCAGAGAAAGTTCAGGGACGTTCACAGGTGGCTGCTGAGGACAGGCAGGAAGTGTCAGAGAATCCTTAACAAAGCACCACGCTGAATTTGGGGGATTCTGCGACAATGAGATGCACACACTTCTTCTGCTTCCTAGCCCGGCAGGGGAGACGGGCCAATGCCCAGGTCTGTGCAGGTGAGCCTTACCTGCGTTAGCTCCGCGGGCAGATGTTAAGCCTCCTTCCGTGCTCGCTCCCTCTTCGTGTGTGTAGAGGCCCAGCTAGTGTGAAGGACGGGACCGGCTATGGCCACTTAGGCTTTGCAGCTTCTTTCAGTTGCTCTGGGTGATTCAGTCTCCAGCATCACAGAAGCCGGCGCAAAGCTCCCCAGCAAGGATGTCCCGTCACCTCAGAGCCTTCTCGGGGGCTTCCGCGTCTTGTTGGCTTAATGCAAGGCGATCAGCTTCTACCTCCTGGTCCAGGATTCGGTCACTAATGAGGCGGTTGGGACCTGAATCCCCATCCTCGCTTATATCCACCTTTCCTAGAAAAAAAGCAAATCACTGAGTTAATGTTGTAAAGCGAGGCTGTGAAGGGAAGGAAGGTCACTTGGCTGTCCACGAGACCGTGTGATATACGGAGCCACCCGACTCGTGGGTGTCGTTCCCAAGGCCTCGACCAGGGGGTTCTCCTGCTTTCGATCTTACTTCTCCGATACCGTGAGCGTAAACACGCTTCGTTTTCTTTCGGGTAGCAGCTGTTTATTACATGCCAGGGACTGGTCAAGGAGACACTGGAAATGTGGCAAAGTATGAAACAGAGAAGACCGTGTCCCTAGTCATCCGTACGTATACACGCATGGCGATTTCCAGCCTGGCGTGGCCCTGGCACCGACTGATCGGAACAGGCCATCGTCCTGGGAGGGCAGGAGGCCGTCCCCCTGCACTTGCTGGACGGGGGCGGGGCTGAGCCAGGGGCGGGGCTGAGCCAGGGGGCCTGGGGGAGGGGGAGGGGGGAGCAAAGGGCATCTGGAGGGCTCAGCAGAGCCGCCCTTTACCGACTCATCTGGAAGTGATTCAGTACTTTTAACGACTGATATGCTGCATGAGCTCCGGCAATAGCGCCGTGGAGAAAAATTAAATGCCACGCCACGACCAAAATGTGAATGGAGTGATTGTCCCAGAAGCAGCGAAAGAAAATACTCGGGTTTCAGAATGGGGCTTTTTTTTTGGCGGGGGTGGGGGGGTGCAGTGGAAGAAAGTGGATCTGGAGTAGTAGGTGAGTGAAATAAGTTCACGGTTTCTCAGTCTCCATAGCAACGGACTTGGTTTTTACAGCATTCTGCGATAACGACACACCCCTAATCCTGCGGTTCACCTGGGTGAGCCATGATCGCAAGGCCAGTAAGGGCATGTGAACGACAGACGCTTTGTAGGAGAGAAGACGAAACTCCAGTGACGTCTGAACGTGGCCGAACCTGCATAGTAACGACCCTGCTCACTGACCTTACGGGGAGGCCGCGCACGGGAGGAAAATGACAAGCAGCAGAAGCAGCGGCAGCCTGCCGCAGCGGGCTACACTCAGAGCTGGCTGGCTTGGGGGCGGTGGACAGGCGCCTTGTCCCCCACAGCTGTAATTCTGAAGATAAAAATTGATCTAAAGAAAGGGAAAGAAACAAGACATCTCCGAACCCTGTTTCTGTGCTTCTGAAAAGAATTCTAATTGATATTATTCAGAATATTCGAACAGCATCTTCTTTCAATAGTTTGCCAAATACTGAATGCAAGGTTTCTCAGTTTGAGATGTGATCGAAAAAAAAAGAATTTTAAATTGCTTCTCAAAGATGTCCTTGACCTAAGAAAAGATTAAGAACCACTGGCATCATGGGAAAATCCATCCATTCATTTATTCGACATGCATTTATTCCATGCTTGTTATACTAGGTACTTACTGGTCGACGTACTGGGGAGATAGCACAGAATGAGTTCAACGAGGCCCCTATTTTGTGAAATTTATATTTTGCTGAGAGGGTTGAGGGTTTGTGGGAGCGTGGATCAGACACCTGAGTTTAGATATTGGGATCGTAACCTCGAGCAGGTTATTTTCTCCCTGAGTCTCCATTTCTTCATTTGCAAAGTGGAAGCAATAAAAGCATCAGAACTAAAATGATTCAAATACCTAACACGAAGGTAAAAATTCAATGCTAATTACTACTAAACTCCCTTCGCCAAGAGGAAGAAGTTGGAGGTCAGAGAGAGAGCATTACTTCAATTTCATAGATAAAAAATTTATACTCGAAGGGGTTGCATGAATTGTGTTAAGCAAAGGAGTGATCAAGAAAGCTTTGATCTGACAGAGCTCGTTGAGAGGGTGACTGGCTCTTTCCTCCTCCACATTGCTTTTCTCCAGTTAGGGGTCTGCTGGATTCATCAGCCTTAAAGAACCATTGAATTGTTTAAAACAAGGATCGGCAAACTACGGCCCACTGCCTGTTACTATATCGCCTGTGAGCTTAGTGTGGTTTTACATTTTTAAACAGCCGAATAAAGGGAAATAGTACTTTGTTATACTTGAAAATTATTTGAAATTTAAATTCCATTCTCCTTAAATAAGTCTTATTTGCCCCTATTTGCTTGAGAACTGTCTACGGTCGCTGTCATGCTGCAGCAGCATAGTTGACTAGTTGTGACAAGAGGCCATATGGCCTGAAAAGCCTAAATTATTTGCCATCTGGCCCTCGATCAGAAAAAGTCTGCCAGCCCCTGATGTAGAATGTCCTTTTCTCTGGAAAGAAAGACACACCAAATACAATCACACATCTTCTGAATTGGTAATGTGACGTTATTTAAAATTAAAGAGCCAAGAGGCTAAGTCTGCAAAATGAGACACTTTGATCATAATCATTAGACTATTTAAGTAAGACAATAGTTAACAGTTACGAGAATTTTAGAAGTATTGAGTCATTCGATCCTCACAACTCTAAGAGGCAAATCGTCACCTATGAGAGAACTGAAACTCAGAGAAGTTGGGAAATGTGTCCAAGGTCACAAAGCCAGTAAACGGCCAAACGGCGATTTCAAATCGAAGCCCATGCTTCTCTGCACAAGTCCGATGCCAGGGGATTGACGGCCCCCCGTTTACGTAGCAGATTTACCTAAGCATTTCCGCCTTTCCAAAACCTACTCCCTGGTATCACTCGGGGTTAGTTTCTTTACTTCTCTCAGATTCTTTTTTTTTCCGTACGATGGAGAAAATAGCTAGTTTGCAAAGTTATTCTGAGGATTAGAAATGACATATTTACAATGCCTGATACCTGCAAACGGTAGCTGTTACCACTTCATTACAATTGTGCGGGACACGTTTTCATAAGATGCTCGCAGCAAATCTGCTCAGGCGACTCTGGGGACAGGGGAGGTGACAGCTATAAGAGAGAAAAAGACAGTCAAATATGTCCCCTAGTTCCCGAAAGGCCGAGCCATCGGCCCCTAATCGGGCGGCTTCTCCTCCTGGGCAGGGTCTCTGCACCTGTGGTGAAGGGGAGGCGTGACAAACGCTGCCGATGCTGGGAATGGCTCGGTTCTTCGTAGCCGATGGACAGAGTTTGCTTCTACACCAAATGTGAGAATGGACGTCAACGCATGGAGAAGAAACAGATGTCCAAGGACAGAGGCGGCCATGTGAGGCGAGGGGAAAAGCGTGCTAATGTCACCCTCCAGAACTCTTTCTTGAGGAAGGAAATTGGGGAGATGATGGCACAGGAAGTGCTGCGCCGCTACTCTGAACCCCGAGGTTGGGGACCAGGGGAAACGCCGAGCGGTTTCTCTGCCATCGATGGACAGGGATCGGTCACTTTCCCGGTGCGGGCCAGGCCCTGGGCCACGCGCTGTGACCGTGTTCTCTTCGGTGACTCGCACAGCCCTATGAAGTGATGCTGCTCTCTACGTTCTATAGACGTGACAGCTGAGGCACAGAAGGTGACTCCAAACCCAGAGCGGCTCTGCTAGCAAGCACCCGTCGGGACACGAAGCCGCTGCTGACGCCTATTCCCCGACCCTTCGGCTACTCCTCGGCTGCCACCGCGGCTAGTGGCGTATGTGGGTGTCAACTCATTCGACAGATATTTACTGAGACGCTGTTTTACCAATGAGGGAGGACTCTGCAGTGACACCCAGACGCAGGAGGGCAGTGGCGGAGAGGGGGCATGGGGAGCGACTGTTAATGGTCCAGGGCTTCCTGGTGACATGTCCTAAGAGTGGACAGTGGTGATGACTGGGCAACTGTGTGTAAACTAAAAACACTGGACGGTACACTTTATGTGGATGAATTTTATGACGTGTAAAATTATCCCCCAAGAAAGCCGCTCAGAAAGAGGAAAGAGAAAATCGCAATAAACACACCAAAAAGGGTATGCTCCGTAAGCTTAAGAACTGAAACGGGCATTCGTCACAGGAGTCTCTATATTGAAAAAGAGTATGATACAAGATTATATTATAATTCAATTTTGGTCCCTGTCATAACAAGTTATAACGAACATAAAAAAACGTGCTGTCGCGGCAGAGTCGTCTTACCCTGTGCCATTTATTCCGCTACCGTGAACTACAAAACGGGCCTCTGGCCTTTTCACCCTTCTGTGTAACTCTTGTGGGGCTACGTGAGGCTTAGCAACTGCATTTGCTAGGACCCCTTTTTCCACGCCAACGAGATGGATTCAAGAACACGTTCGCACCACTTCGCGAATGTGTACCGAATGCCACTTGAAGAAAGCAGCTGCGCCCCACGCCCAGGCCTCACCCCTCGAGGCGAAGCTGGGCTTCCCATGGGTGGAGGCGGGTCCGCATGCATCGGGGTGAATACAGATTTTGACTTAGACGGAAACAGAAAAGAGTTCCCTCGACTTGAAAAGTTCCCGCTGATTCATGATTCCAACCAACCGACAGTATAATTTAGCACTTCAGGTTAAATGTTGTGCCTTATTCCTATCTGAACTCAAACGCGGATGGTGCCGGATTTGCTCTTTGCTCAAGGACCAAGGCCTTTCAATTTCTTTACCAGTTTTAAAGAATTCGAGGAGTCAAAGTAAATCAGCCATAAAACATCGGCAAACATACCGTAATTAAACCGGAAATTTAAAATTACAATTGACTTTAAGAGAAAGAGGCAAAAGTCAAGTAAGCTGATACCAGGAACTGGCTTAAAGCTAGGAAAGGCCCGGATGGCCCTGTTGGGGCGTCACAGAGTGAGCCCTACGGCCGAGGACTTCCCCTGCTGAGAGCATGGTCGTGATGACAAACGGTATGAAAGGTGAGCTTAAGGTACGGGGTTGACGTAAATCATTACCATAAGCAAAAATTAACTCTGATGTGCATATATTATACTTCGTAAATGGGGAACAAAGCTGACGATACTAAAATACGCCTCCGAAAAGGGTGGAGACCACGTTATTTTCTGGTTGAACAAAATTATGTGACCGGAAATATCCCATTTAGGCTATTTCAATTAATCTAAGGTTAGCAAAAACGTTATGACAGAGGTCCATGAAGTAGATAGTATCTCTCAAGGATCAGCAAATTAGTAGATTGCTTCTCTGTTTGCTTTTAAGTTTAAAACTTGAGAACTCATCGACTGAAATGATGGCTGCTGTCCATATTGGGCTTATTAGGGCACGCAGCATTCGCTGAGTTTGTTAAAGTTTATTTTTCTGTGCTTACTCATTTCTAAGGAACAGAGACTTAAACCATTTGAAGAAAAAACCCTCCCACCATTTCAAAGGGCTAAAAGCTCTTAATGTGACCTAAATAAGGGTTGAAAGAGAATGAGTTCAAATAGTTACAGTTCAAATAGCCACATCTCCTTATTTTTAAAAGTAAATACTTAGCATGTGACCATAGCCAATGTTTACTGTCAGGTGTTATTCACCATTTGTGTATATTATCTCGACGCACCCCAATATCCAATGAAGCCTCCCCCGCTTTTACACATGAAGTGGAGGAACAGAAAGATTAAGCGATCGAGCTGGCATCCCACTTCTAAGTGCCAGAATCAGGATTACAGCAGTGCCTCTGGGGACCTTGGTGAAATACAGCCGGGGCCAGACTTGATGTGATGTAGTAAGATCTCACAAGTAAAGGGCATCTCGATGGCCTCTATGCTGCCTGCTTGAGAGTAAATGCCCATTTGGGGAGAGAGGCTCTGGATACCAGTGGCTTCAGCTTACAGGCATGTTCCAAACTGCCATGGGATTCTGTTCCAGGCGAAGCTGTGCCAGTGTGCCAGTGTCCCTTCTCTGACAGGAACAAGGCAAGGAGAGAATTTCTGTGCTACAAAAGTAAATGTCAGAGAAATGGGCTCAAGGTTAAGAAGTGAGCTTCTCCTGCAAGAACCTGCACAATTCCAGTGTGGCACCTACCTATCTTGGCACACTTTTGGCACTTGATCGGGTGGCACCACCAAAGTCTGTGCGGATGGCAGGTGGGGTGAGTTCATCGTATTCAGATCAGCGTATTCTCAGTGTTATTTAGTTTTCAAAGAGGTGGTTTTCGATGCTGCCATCTCGTTCAACTTTTCTGGAAGGAGAAATTTTTATTTAAGAGGTGGGAAACTGAATTAGAATAGTCGAGTATAAAAGAAAATCTCAAACCTTTAAATTAGCATTTACCTCACACCCCTAATATTTTCACTGTCCCCGAATGATGACTGACAACCTCTGCTGCTAATTCCTAACCTCTGGTCCTCCCTGGAACTTGGCTGAGCGAGTGCAACTTAAATAAAAAGTAAATGATCATCAATTTAAAAAAAACCCTTTCTTAGAGGACGGAAGATGGAATGTCAGTCAAGCAGATGTGTAAACAGCGCGAAAGCAAGGGCTCCAGCTATCCATGGCAAGGTCGATGGCAAGGTCGCCTTGAAGCTCGCCCGAATCCACGTGGTCAGAGTCCAACCTGCCTGGGCCTCCATTTCTTACTCTCTAAAATGAGAGGGTTCCGTGGTTCTCAACGGTTTGAGAACCAAGGCCGCCTTTTATAATAAATTTTAATACCTACTTTATGATCAGAAATATAACGCACAGATACCATCGCTCGCCTGCAATGTTAAAAAAATCTATATAATTTATAATAAGCATTTCAAATGAAAATGTCAGACACATCTGAAGTCAAAGACACAATGAAATAAACAGTCAAATGCTTTATGTACCATATGTAAAGGAAAAATTTGAATTTTAAAGAAGCAAAAGACCCAAGGTCGTTCCACTCCAATAGTAAAGGAAAAGTTATAATAAACCAGTCTTATTTGTATACAGTAAGAGAAAGAGGAAAATAACTTGAACTGAATGAAGTAAGGCTCATAACCCAAATCAAATATCCCTTGCAGACTGCTGACATGGAGAAAATCAGGCAGATTTCTTATCTGGGATGAGGCTTTGAAGGAACAGAGAAAACACGTCTTCTGTCTTGATGACCCACATGCACGGGAAGGCGTGCATCCACTGAACTTCAAGACTTTGCAGATGGGGAAAAGAGGCTGGATTGGAAAAAGAATCGATAATTTCCACCACATAGACTATTATCATGCTTCTGTACAAAATGGCATAGAGGGAAATATTTTTAAAGACTTCAACAAAATTCAGTGTCAGATTCACTTCATATGCCTCTACAACTATAATTTGTACAAATGTGATATAGTAAGTAGAAAAATTCTGAATTTTTACTACCTTTGTTAAAAAAAATAACTAAAATCCTCTTACAATTCTCTCCCGGTATTTTCTCCCGTCACCCAGAGAAAAAAGCAAAACAATCAAAAACCCAGCCTGCGGGTATGTTGTTCGCTTTTCAGAAACTCCAGAATTTATTTTAGAAAACTAGGAAAAGACAGAAGACTTACTAAAAACTATTTTAAAGAACAGTTAAAGCAATTTTTTCAAATGTTTCACAGGTGACGATTAAGATGTTTGCGTACTATTTCTCAAAATTATGAAGGAATATTAAGATAATACTAGCAGGGGGAAAATTCTTTTTCTGCAAAAAAGCTATATCGAGATTCAGGGAGAATCTCATGTTATCTTTAGTTACAGATCATGAATGTGCAAGATAATGTACAAGGCGTCTAATGGTCCTAATATTCCTTTACTGGACCACAACCCGGCCTGACAACCTTTAAACAAAATTTGTACTTATTTTGTGTCAGTTTATTAGCACATTACACAATAATTAGAAGGAAACTTACCCATTTCTCCTCCAGAGAAACATTAATTTTATAAAAATGATTTTTGAGAGAATATTTTAAGATTGGAAACTTGTAAGCAACACTGATTGGTGTGTTTTGTACTAAATTATTTTTCATAAGCGCATGAGTTTTGGAGTCAGATTTGGATCTGCATCCTGCTTCTACAACTCAACCTATGATATAGAGAGCTTAGCGAGGTCGCAGGGGCACACTAAGTCCTCAAATGTTAGTTATTATTTCTAATCACGGCAATGATAACTACCATTTATGTACACTTCCTGTATGTGCTTTACAAACGCTATTGTATTTATTTCTCTTATCCGATGAGTATTATTATTCCTGTATAATATATGAAAACACTGAGGTTCATAAAAGGTAGAGAAACATGCCCAACTCAGGTACGTCAGAAGCCAAAGCACCGTTGCTACTGACCACCATTAACTTTTTCTGTTGGGGGAGGGAGGGAGGGTAAGTGGGAGAAAGAGAGAGATGGACAGATGAAGAGTGTTGGGGGAAGAGGGAATCCTTGAATTTATTATGAAAGTTAGACATCTTTCATGTTAATAGAAGTTTTTAAAAATAATATCCATGTTCTAAATTAGCCGAATAACTGCCTTAAAAGCAAATATTACCAGAACACTTCGGTGCCCACATCTGCATTTGTATGCACTTGAAAGTAAGAGCTAGGTTCAGCTTTCCTTGTGGACGGCGGATGGAGAACAGAGGCTGACTTAATGGGGCAGCGATGTATTCAAGGGAGATGAAGACTGAATAACATCACCATGTGCTAAGCGAAAGCAAGTAACAGTCTGAGCAGAGAACACAGTGGCAGAGCTGAGTCACCACCGTAGCACATGGAAGTACGTGCATGTGAACTCACACTCTAGCACTCAGTACCAGAGTCCCACCGCAAGCGACAGTTTTGTTTTGGCGAAACATCACCATCCATTATATTTATTTAACGTTTTTAAATTTTATTAGTTTTATAGTTTTGCTTGTGTCTGATCTGTAAACTTCTGCTTTTATACTTGTGCAAGAACTATTAGCATAAGGCATGTATACGTAGCTTTATGTTTGTATATACTTAGATGCTGTTATAATAAACAAAATCCGAGGAGCTAAGAGAATTCTTCCTCATTAAACGGGATGTGCATTATTCGAGTTGGAGAAGCAGCGCTCTATGCTGTGCTGCTCGAGTGTGGGCTTCGGCGGGTCACTCGACCTCTCTCCATCACCACCTACATCACGGCATGTGTAGGATTAAATGAGAGAATGAGTGTGAGTGCTCCTTTCCCTGGAACGAAAAACAAGAAGGCTAAATACAGTCCGGACTCTTGTACTCTAAGTGTGGTCTTGGGCCCAGGAGCACTGATTTCATCTAAGAGTCTGTTAGAAACTGAAATCCCAGGCTCTACCCAAGACCTACTGTATCAGAATCCGCATTTTAACACATTCCCAGCTGACACAATACATGCACATTAAAGTCTGAGGAGCCCTAGTCTAGATCTCCATAGAGAAGGCGGACAGTAAAATTCACTGCGTTCTGCACTCTGTAGGTTAACTTTGGTGTTAAGAGAAATGCCAGGCATAAATGGCCAAAAAAAAAAAAATCTTCCTCTGGGATTCAATATAAACGTGACCACAGGCTGTTTCTGTGGAGTGGGACGCTCTTTAAAATGGGTCTTTCAATTCAGAAAGACTAACGTATTTTTAAATATAAAACATTCATAAAAGCTTTCCGAATTTTGAATAGACATATCTTAAGATCATGTCAATTAAAACATTTTTTTTTTTTTTTTTGGTTTCCTTTGCCCCATCACAATTAAAATCACTTATGTCTATTAAACTCTTATTTAAGTGTTTTGGTCCACGTGATCTGGTCTGACAAAGTGCTGGTTCCATTTATGGTGACCGTGCTTACACTACAGACATTATAAAAAAAAGTATAATTGTGTATATAAAATGTATGTTTTAACTGTTAAACAAAAATATTAAGTCCAATTCAGCAGTTATAATTTTGTTAGTGTAATTAACCTAGAGAATATCTATGCTTTTCTTCTTGCAATCAGTGGCTCTATACATTTAAGGCATGCTGTACTTAAAAAGATTCAAAGATACTGTTATTGGAAGCACAGAAAACAAAGTTAGCAACTAACATTCAAGAAAGCCACTAATATCTAAAGTGATCTTGATATCATCTATTAAAGGGCTATTTTGGTAGAATCAAAGGTTGAACTATGCTCTATTTTCTCCACAGGTGGGCCACAGAAATCACATTCAGAGGACATAAAGCAAAGCAGATGACCGTGTGTGTATGCGTGTGTGGTCAGGCCACTAGGCGGTCCTTACACTCTGGGTTTGTGACGTGACCTGGATACAGGTAGAACCCACCATGAGCCTCATGGTCTCAGGCGATCGCAAACCAAGAGTCAATCATATGACAATTTGCAATATTCATGGCAGCACAATTTACAATAGCCAAGATATGGAAGCAACTTAAATGCTCATCAACAGACGACTGGATAAAGAAATTATGGTTCATATACACAATGGAATATTATTACTCGGCCATTAAAAAAATGAAATCCTACCATTTGTAACGACATGGATGGACCTAGAGGTTATTATGCTGAGTGAAATAAGTCAGACAGAGAAAGATAAATACCATATAATTTCACTTACATGTGGTATCTAAGCAACAAAAAGGACAAACCAATCAAAAACAGACTCACAAATATAGTGGACAATTTGGTGACGGACAGAGGGGAGGGGAGTTGGGGGACTGGGAGAATGAGGTGAAGGGTTACAGAAGTACAAATCAGGAGAAGATAGTTGGGCACAGGGATGGGGAGCACAGCAGAGGGAACGCAGTGAGCATAAATGTGATGGCGGAGGGCCAGGGAGGGAGGGAGCAACTGGGGGATCGTTTTATGAACAATACAGGTGTCTAACCAATGCACCGTATACTTGAAACTAATTTAAATAAATAAATAAATGAATGAATAAAAGATAATCATATTCCACGAGCTATGTTAGTACCAGTACAGCTAATTATGATACCATAACTCAAGAGAACCACAAGGTGACACTTGGCTGCGAACTTTAATTTTAGAGGTTTATACGCTTCCGGTAGTCCTTTTCATCCTTAATACAATCAATCCACTATTACTAGAACCATAAAATTCTTCTCTTTCCAGTGCTTCAAATTCTAATGATTTCCGTTCATATATTAAGCAATTTAAACTCTATATACATATATATACAGACAATATATCAAGGGAAATACAAAAAGTGGTTTTTAGCTTATACTGAAACTATATTTTATTGCTTCCCTATTAACTTTTGCAAAGAAAAGATTAAACCATTACCTACAGTTTGAATTCATTAAACAATATCTAAACAAACAGAAAACAGGTAGAAATAGGCTATTTTTTCCTACTAGCGTGAGCATACTCATCCCTCTCTAGAAATAGCAGATATTTTAATCCTTTTAGACTTAAGATATTTGATTGAAAAAATCTACATCCATTTTCCTACCAAAAATACTCTGAAAATCCTGTTGATTACTCTTAAACTACTATATTTGGATTCCTTAAAAAAAAGAGTATACACACACACATATATAACAGAGC